GGGCGGGGAGAAGAAGGCTTCAGGGTAACGTGATCTCCCTCCACGTGCTGATCTACTGTTGTTGCTCCTTCTTCTCTGCTCGGACCTTTTCTCCTCGCCTCCCCCCCCCCTCACTCAGTAGTTCAGTAAATTGGCAGCTGCTATGCACTCATGTGTGCGCTGTGAGGGTGTGCTGACAGGACATACTGGCTATTTTAATGTGGGAGGCCTCTGCAGACTTGACATTCCTGTTCAAGGAGTCAGCTGTGCCATTAGGACCTCTTTGCCCGGGGGCAGCGGCGCACAACAGTGTGATTGTGCTGCTCACGTGTGGTACGCACGATCCTGCTCTATGTGCAGGCAGGTACTACTTATTGAGAGCGGTTTTATTAATGGAAGTAAGCCTTGTGCCTATTTTCTTCTCCTAAATCAGTGTTAAGAGGTCAGTTTGTTAGGGTTTGTTTAAATTCAAAGAGAATATTGGTGGACGTTGGACAATCAGGCTGTATGTTTTTTTGGGACTTACATTTTATGATCACATTTTGGAAAATTGGCTCTGTTAAAAGTAGGCCAGTTAAGCTATTAGCAGTTCCTATTTGCAGTGTAAGGATAACTATCACTAGATTACTTTTATGGTGCGGAAAACTTGAAAAACACGTTCTAGGTCAGTGTTCTTCTGAATGTAAAAGTATGTGTGTCCATGTCCCTCTGTTCAGATTTCACTGAGTTATGGTTCCTTTTCTGTGTTGGCCCAACAACTTTAAAACCACTCTTGAAGTATCAAATATTGGAAACAAAGCAGAATAACTCAATTTAATACATGTAATATTTCCCTTTCCTTTCATGCTAACATTAATAGCATTTAGCAACCATAAACCTCGTTTTTCAGCGGTCCGTTCTGCTGTCTGAATTTCACAGCTTGTTATTGTGCCATTGAAAGTTGGCAACCTGTACATTTTCCTTCTCTGACTGACAACTGGATCAGACCAGCCTCTGTCTCATACAGCTGTTACAATATACAGGTAGATACTAACATACTAATCATTTATCACAAATAGGAACATGATGAACGTTATGGAATGTTTGATCAAAACCACACAAAAGAAAGACTATAAGTCAGATACAAATCATGCCAGTTCTTGGAAATGATAGTGCGACAGAGCAACTTTAAGAGGCACTCGACTAGCACATCCATTGATGAGGCCTCCTGTGCACATTCACACAGATGCTCTGCATGTAATGTCACTTTTTGAAGACGACTTCATTCCCCTGAGCTCCGAGGTGAGAGGCCGGCTCCTCTCGATCCTTAATGAGAGCTTCGGCAAAGGAGCGAGCAAATCCTCTTCATTGGCTGCTGCTGTAGCTAAAAGCACATGGAAATAGATTGTGTATAAAAAGACTTGCAGCATAATATCGACAGATGTGGCCTTTGTGAGTATGAGGATAAATATGTAACAGTGCAGTGAGTCACAGTGAAATCCACAGGAGTTGTTTCAGTGTCTTGTTTGAGGTCCAAGGTATTTGCAAAGTATGTACAACAAATATAAATAGCCTGCCTTTTTATTATGGTATTTCTCTGGTTTCCATTGAGACCATTCAGCTAAATCTCCAGATGAGGTGAGCAGGAGGTCTATTCATGTTTTCTGAGAAATATCTTTATTCTTCTTAAATCTACACCAGGGTGGCTCTTTGGATCAATATGGGTTAATCAGACCGCTACTTTATCTATGACTGAAATATCTCAACAACCAGGACTATTTGATGGATGTTTAAGAAACTTGTATCATTGTATTACTAGTATTATCAGCTAAATGTACTTCGAGAATCAGCAGAACTCGTGCTGCAGTAACATGTCTCCAGTGACTATCTGATTGTTTCTCACATGGTCAGGTTTAAAGCAGTATTGTAATGTTGTTGCTTCTCGAGGTGGAGCTACTTTGAAGTACTTTATAATACAGTTAGATAGTTTACTCCTGTAGTTCCCAAGCTAGGGGTCGCTTCCCTCAAAAAGAGTCACCAGATTTTTTTTTCGTCGCGCTTTTATGTTGATAGGTAAATAGAAATATCTCTTTGGTGAAACTGAAAAATGATCCAAAACATGACAATACCTAATTCAGTGAATTAAAAATATGTCCCTCTGAGATGCAGTGGAGCAGCAGTATAGTAGCATACACAGAACGATTCAAGGAAAGTACAAGTACTTCAAATATGTACTTAAGTGTAGTACTTGGTTGAATGAACATAGTTAGATTCCACCATTTATATAAGTCTCACCTCATAATCAGTCAGTAAAGACTTTCAGGATGTTCAACGTGCAACATAGAGTCCAATTGAGGAGGGAATCATAGCTTCTCTTATGCCCCATTCATATGAGATACCTATAATAATAATAATAATAATAACTTTTTTTTCATATCCAAGCCATTATAAATCTTCAACCAATCCATTATCACTCCGTAAAGTCTCCATGAATACTCCTCCACTGTAGAGCTCCATGTCCCTGATGACCTCCCATCACCACTTTCATCCCACTCTCACCTCCCGGGCAGCAGTAATGTGTGCGAGCATGCACATGTGAACAGTGGGACTATTGCAGCCTGTGAGCAATGTAATACCTCACCAGGCACTGCGCCAAATCAAGACGGGATTATGCCACATGCTCCCAGCAGTCCATCACTATCACGCTAGGATCAGTCAGATCCAACCGTGTGTGTGTGAATTCATTGAAAGTATCAAGAGTCAAAGTGCTTAAAATGGTACTTAGACTTTAACAGGTCACATAAGGAATACTAATCTAATATATATAAATATATATCAGCCCTCAAAACTCACCTTTTCACTCTTGCCTTCAACTCCTATTCCACTAACCCCTCGACCCTATTCCACCTAGTATAGCACTTTAGTACTTTTCTTGTTATTTTTCTTTGCTTGCTTGTAAAGCGCTTTGAGAACCAGGAAAACCACTANAATTAATCGCAATTAATCGCATTTTTAATCGCATATAAATATTTGACCTGAGAACAGTGAGAAGCAATTTTTTTCACATGGATTTTAGTATACCATTGATTCAATGGTATACTAAAATCCATGTGAAAAAAATTGCTTCTCACTGTTCTCAGGTCAAATATTTATATGCGATTAAAAATGCGATTAATTGCGATTAATTAATTACAAAGCCTGTAATTAATTAGATTAATTTTTTTAATCGAGTCCCGGCCCTAGTATTTACCTATAGAAACAAAGTTGTTTCTGTCCTTTAAGTAGGATTCAAACCAATTTAGAACTGTTGCCGAAAGTCCCACACAATTTTCCAGTCGGTCTAGTAATATGTTGTGGTCAACAGTGTCAAACGCAGCACTGAGTTCTAATAATACTAACACTGAAGTTCTGCCACTGTCTGTGTTGGATGTCATTGAAGAACTTTACAAGAGCAGTCTCAGTGCTGTAGTTTGGATGAAAGCCTGAATAGAGCACATCGAAACAGTTATTTAAATGCAAGTAATCACTCAACTGTTGAAAAACTACTTTTTCAATGGTTTTACCTAGAAATGGGAGGTTTGATATGGGCCTGTAATTGTTAATTATTGAAGCATCTAGATTATTCTTTTTAAAGAGCGTTTTAATGTTTGCCGTTTTTAGGGCCTGTGGAAAAACACCTGAGTGAAGAGATTTGTTTACTATATGAAGTAGATCGGAGGCCATGCTATGAAAAACATTTTTGAAAAATCCTGTTGGAATAATATCAAGGCATCAGGAGGAGGATTTCAGAAGTTGAATAATGTCCTCTAGGTTTTTATCATTAATCTGTTGGAATTGTGTCATGGTGTTTGAATTGATTTTAAGTGGACACAGGGACAAAACATTTGCTGTACCTGATACAGAGGCACTTGTCAGTGAAAAAGGAGGCGAATTCATTGCAGGCCCTGGTGGATAGAAATTCAGAGGCTACTGACACTGGGGGGTTTGTTAGTCTGTCAACGGTAGCAAACAAGGAACGTGCGTTGTTTTTGTTTTTGGCAATGATGTCAGAGAAGAAAGACTGTCGTGCAATTTTCAATTCCAAATTATAAAAGCCAAGTTTCTCTTTATAGATTTCAAAATGAACCTGGAGATTTGTTTTTCGCCACCTGCGTTCAGCTTTCCGACACTCTCTTTTTTCTGTTTTCATGGTCATGGCCTTTCCCCATGGACATATTTTCTTGCCAGTCACTTCCTTTATCTTAGTTGGAGCAATGGCAAAATTCAATTGAATTAAAATGATCTACTAGCTCATTTACTGAGATGTTAGCAGGGGCAAGTGTGGAAGAAAAATTCTGAGTAAAAATGTCCCTAGTATTTTCAGTTAAATATCGCTTTGTGGTTACCTCTTTTTAAACATTTTTGTGAACAGGCTCTCAAAGAAAACACAGGAATGATCAGAGAGTGCAACATCAGTAACCACAACCTTAGAGATATTCAGACACTTTGAGATAATTAAGTCCAGTAGATGAAAATCATCAACAGTTGTTCAATCCAAGTTTTCGTTAAAAACATAAAATCGAGATTGTGATCATTGATTAAAAACGTTTTTCCTGCCAAAGACCTGACATTTAATAAAGCTAGTTTAAGTTTGTTAAATCTGTCAGATTTTTTGTGATGAGCTGTGGCTGACATGGAATCACTGCTAAATTTGATAAACTCACACAAACGTTTGAGCGCTTCCTGTTTCTAAGCTGATTCACCGCTCTCAATCTATTACCTATCAACACAGATATCGGCAAAGCTACTGGCAGGCAGGGCCCCGGCATGTCCTGGAAAGAGTTGAGAGTGCCATACGCCCTTGAGCCTGGACCCAGCACATATCAGTTAGAGTTTGCTGCGTTTTGTACACACACATTCTTATCAGGCTTCGGACACCGCAGATGCTGTCTTGAAGGGGGGGAGGTGGTTGACGTAGGCACGGTGATGAAGTCGGGGGAGATGGTGCGCGTCTCTGCTTCGGTGATTGTGGTGGCCGTCGTTGAGGGGCGGGGGTAAAGGACATGCTGCCAACCCTGCGTATCACCTTCATGCAGTCATTGAACTCCAGGAAGGAGTTGGTGCCAACCCTCTGTATCTCCTTCATGTGGTCGAACTCCAGGAGGGTGGACGAGGGTGAACGGAGAGTAGAGAGAGCTGTGGGGTGAAGGAAGAGTATCCTCAAAGGTAATAGGGGGGGTGAAGGGCGGTGGAAACTCCTCCATTTGTCCAATAAGCATCTAAAGTTTTCTTCAGCAGTGAAAGGCCGTATTTAAATCACAGTCTGTGCCTTTGAGCATCAGTCACATGACTCACATCTAATAACATGTGTTTAACAGCTTCTGACCAGCTCTATTACATATCCTGTGCTTATAATGACTCACAGATGGAGAATCAACCCCCCCGGTTTTCACCTCTTCCAGTTTATTTTCTACCAATTTATACACTAACAGTGTTTATTTCCCAATATTTGATCCAGGTTACAACAGACTAAGTGGCTGTTTCTGTGTTAGTATCTCCATATGTGTTTTTAATAAGTTGTGTATTCAGTCCCTGCTTATTTCTCCTCGATACAGACGAACCGGTCGCTTCACTTCCTGGATGACAGGAGCCCTCAGCATCCCTTCTTCATGATGCTTTCCCCCCCCGCGCCTCACTCCCCCTGGACGGCAGCCCCGCAGTACCAGAAGGAGTTCGGCGACGTTAAAGCTCCTCGAGGCGGGAGCTTTGACAAACCAGGGAAGGTGTGTTCAAGATGATCAAATATTTGTTGATATATATGACAGTTTTTAATGTTATTTACAAATCTATATGTTTCTTTGTGCTTCAGGACAAACACTGGCTGCTGCGTCAGCCTGTCAGCCCCATGCCCAAAACCTCCCTCACCTTCCTGGATAATGCGTATAGGAAGAGGTACTGCAAGACAAATCTGATTCAGACTGAAAGTTGTGTTTAAATGAATATTTATGATGTCATATTTGGCATCACAGTTTCCTTACTATAAGTCTTTATTTAGTTTGTTTTTCCCTGAATATTTTTCACATTTGAGAATGTTTTTTCACTGATTAGAATCAAAGAAAGGGATTGGGACATACTTTGTTGTTCTGCAAAACCATTCATACAGTATATAATTGACATTTTCAATAAGAAAAATACATTGACCAAAAATACTGAAAAGGAAATTACTTTTAGGTTGTTATTTAAAAAATTAAGAATTAACACGTCATAGTATGTACATTGTCATGTCCTTTATATTTATTTAATTTGTACTCTTATTTCAATTGTAATTATTTTTTGGACATCAACCTACGTAACCTTGTATATCACCCTACATTTCACTGCACAGTGCACATATTCTATATTTAATATTTATCCTTTATATCAGAGCACATTACCAAACTGTAGACTTTAAACAATGTAAATAATGATCTCTCCTTCAGGTGGCAGACCCTGTTATCTGTGGACGACATGGTGGAGCTGCTGGTGAAGAAACTTGAAAGCATAAAGGAACTGGACAACACCTACATCATCTACACCTCTGATAACGGATACCACACAGGTGAGAGCCCCTCCTCTGGTACTCAGATACATATATACTCTGTACTTCCTGTCTGTGTGCTCCCTCACAGTAATCTCCACTGTTCACAGGTCAGTTCTCTTTGCCCATTGACAAGAGGCAGCTGTATGAATTTGACATCCGGGTCCCACTCATCGTCCGCGGTCCTGGCATCAAACCCAACCAGACACTACAGGTCTGACACACATTTACACGCATATTTTTCTTTGCATCTGTTAATCCATAGTATTAGTTTGTCTTTTAATAATTTCTTTATGGCTCTTTCAGGCTCCAGTGCTGAATATTGACCTGGCTCCCACCATTCTGGACATATCTGGTGTCAACCTGACAACTCTGAATGTGGATGGGCAGTCGTTCCTCTCTCAGATGGTCAGCTTCTTCTTTAAATGTTTTTCTAAATGTCATTTGTTTCTCAAACTTAAATAACATCACCTAATAATTCTCTGCCTGTTAGGCCCCAACGCTGCGTAATGGCACTGCACGCCCCTTTTTCCTTGTTGAATACACCGGAGAGGGACATGAAAAAACTGACCCTGAATGTCCTAAACTGGGCCCTGGACTTTCTGTGAGTATATACAGCAAGAAAAGACTGTAACGTTTAACGAATAATTATAGGATATCAATACGCAAATTGTTGGTTAATTGTTAAAGTCCCTTTATCCAGCAGAAATGCATCATTATCTTCACACAAGGTTTATTCAGTAGCATTTCTGGAGCTTTCAGAAACATCTCATGATCTGAAAATGCTCAGAGGAAAGGAAATGTAACACCAAACACCTCAAACACCTGCAGGGGAGGCATGTGTGATATGACTGAAAGTTATACAGTTGCAACAATGCAGTTGTTTTGCTAAATAAAGTTGGGTTTAAATTACATGTTTGCGTATCAGAAGTTTGCATCACTACCCGCTGTAGTTGGCAGGAGTGTGTATGGTTTCAGCTTCCAAAAACGATAATGACAGTAATTCTAAGCTGCAGCGATGACTCATCACTTGATTTTTCTCAGCAATGTTTCCCGGACTGCGTGTGTGAAGACGCCTACAACAACACCTACGCCTGTGTCAGGACCCTCGACAAGGAACACGACCTGCAGTACTGCGAGTTCGCAGACAGTGAGGTAACGTGAGACTGTGACACACATTCAGACAGTGATGGACATTCACTCAATGACTGTTCTTAATAACAATTTGAGGTTCTTCATTTGAGTATTTTCATTTTATGCTTCTTTACTCCTTTTGTTTCGAAAGAAAAATTGACAGCTTTAGCTCATTTTAATTATAATTGTTTTTGTATCCCCTTCCTGTCCTGTTAAAATCTATCTCCAGATATGCTGATTTTTAAAGTTTGTGATAAACTGAAAGAGGAAGGGTTTCTTTATCTTCTACTTCTTAAACTAAATAAACTATATATTACCCTTATGCATAAGCTGGAAAATGCATCGTCATAAAGATAAAAAACTACATTTTTTCCGATCTCATGACAAGTTCTAAAAAGGGAGCATTGCCAGAAATAATTTGAGGATCTTATACAATAGTATGAATTGCTGGAGAAGGAGATAAAGCTACAGAACATAATATCAAAGAGTTTAAATGAGATAGCCTTTAGCTCCTACAGCAGTGAAATGCAATATACACTTGAATGCAGCATTTATATTAATCCAGAGACATCATATCTAATAGTATACTGCTTTTACTTTTCATCCTAAAAATACATTTCGCTACATACATTCAAGGTTTTGAATGCAGGAAATGAAGTATTTGCCCAGTGTGGTTTTTGTACTTTAATTAAAAAGGATCTGAATATCTCTTTCTTGTTCCTCTGTGTCCCCAGTCGTTTGTAGAAGTGTACAACCTGACGTCAGACCCCCACCAGCTGGAGAACATCGTGAAGTCGGTGGACCCGGCCGTCCTGCAGGCGATGAACCAGCGGCTCATAAAGCTCCAGTCCTGTCAGGGCAACAGCTGCCGGGACGTCAAGTAAAGCAGAGTCAGCGCTCTGTCAAAGCTGCTTCGTGCCCTCAGTGGAAGACGGGTTGGTTCATCTGACCAAATTATACCACAAGTATGATAGCTGGATCAGGCTTTTTAATGACCATGTTTCTTGTGTTGTGACATGTCTTCGTAGGAAAAGCACTGGTGTTAATTATAAAAAGGAAGGATGGCTAGATTCTGCTAGTGCCTATTTCTTGGTTGGGAAGGAAGAAATTGTCCTTAAAGTAATATAAATAGTGCTTGCACAACTACAAGGATTTTTTTGTACAGACCCTCCAGAATAAAGCAAATTAGCATATTTCCCAAATGTTTCCTTTTAAATATATTCCTAACACCTGTGTTTCTCTTACAATGGCATGCCAAAATGTTTGCTATGAAAATGTTCCGTCTGTTTTCCCGAGCTGTGCTCATACATCTCGCATTAAGTTTACTATATGTTATTTTAAGATAACTCCTTACCCAGTTTATATGGTGCAGATCTTCCGTCAGTCAGTCCTTCTTGTTCTGCATCTCTACGTATGAACTGAATAAAACGCTTTTTAATGATTTTTACCATTATTCAAGGTTCAAATGCCAAACTAAAATGTTTGTTCAAATGACACATAACCAAATATTCACTTGTACACTGTGGATGTCATGTATTCAATCATCTCTAAGGGAATAGTTTTATATGTTAGGAGTGGGAAATGAGAAGATTGAAGCCACTCCTATGTCTGTCTGTCCATAAAAAGTAGATGGTAAACTCACTTAGCACAATAAAGACATTTGGAAATAGGGGAAACAACTAGTCTGGTGGTGTTCAAAGGTAAACAAAATCCACCTAGCTGCGGCTTTATAGCTCACCAATCAAAATGTCATATTGTTTGGTTAATTCAGATAGAAACTGGGTAGAAATAACAAATTGCAACTTTATCAAGGAATAATAAAGGAATAGGACTGTTTCTTGAGTCCCTGAATTTTGCTTGGAAGGAAATAGACCAACTGAAAAAAAAAACAATAAAACTACTATTTGTCGTTTTTGACAGGTCAGTTTGTGTATAAATTAAACAAACAATTTTAAACTTTAATGGTCATGCTACATTTATTTGGTTACCTTTGCACAGAGCCAGGCTTGCTGTTTCCAGTCCTTTTGCTGCTGGCTTTATCTTCATTTTCATCGTGAAGACCTTCAATTCAAACTCTTTGCAATATTATCTATGCATGGTAAAGCTCTTTTCTGAATATTTGTAACTCATATTTTTATATCTATTCAGCAGTACTTGAGTTCTGACACAAAGGCTTTTTTAATTGGACATCGTGATGTGTTGGATTATTTCTCCTTTTTGTGCCTCAGATTTAAAGACTTAACACCATTTTAGTTTTTCAATCCTGATGTTTGTTTATTACAATATTTTACACTGTTATTAGTAACATTTTTATTGAGCCTTTTTAAACAGAAAGATGGAGAAAGGGCTGTGATACTTTTGAGATATGTTGAGGATTTTGTAATTGTGAGAAAGGGGAAATTGTACCTGGTACCATATGAAATGAACGCTTTGATCCTGTGTGCCTTGTGTTTGCACTGACGAGGCTCACGTGCCTTAAATGTGAATGTATTTGCAATGTGATTAAATTAAAAATAAATCAAAAGAAGCATTTAAATGAACTTGTTATGTGGATATTTCAAAGAGGTGTCACACAGCTAATAAAGTACAATTGACTATTCAACATTTATAAGCACTGAAATATTAAATAAATCCATATTGAACTATAATGTAGTTCTAATCATCTTTGAGGACATGTTAAGTGTCACTAATGATAAAATCTCATAAGACATTTTAAATTATTACTGTGTTTACCTACATTTTCATTTACTAAGTTTATACAGCAGCCTTGTATCTGCCTGCAACTACATTATAGTGTAATAAACCATTAAAAAACGTTTATATATCCTAATAACTGCTAAAAAGGGAGGGCCAATTGCTTTTGAATCCTACGTGGGGGAAATTAATATAGAACATGCAACATGAACTTTTAACCAGGATGGCAGCTTTAAGTAACTGAGTCAGGATTTCTAGAAAGAGACATTGCAGATAAGTTTTTCAAATATATTTTTATTTTATCCGGAGTCACAAATACCTTGAAACTGAAATCCAATGAAAATTGATTAGTCAAGTTTAGATACACTGAGAAAAGATAAAGGAAACCAGAACAAAGTCACCATTTTATACAATAACAGAATCCAGTCGTTGTTTTTATATCTACAAGAAAAGAATGCAGCTTTAGCATTTCACATATCCATCAGAGGTACTTGTACACAGGTTTATCCTCCAGGGTCTGAATCTCTAACTTCACGGGGCATTTGTACAAGTGTGACAGTAGTGTCTCTGTATAGCCTATTAGGAAGTAAAACTTCGGTGGTGGTAATTTCTGTAGCATTAAAATGCACAGTGTCAGCAGGTTGCCGCGCCTTTTGATCACAATTTCATTTGCCAGGCAGCCGTGGAAGGTCCCGAACATGAAGCGCCGGATGAAGACGTCCTCTATGGTCCTCTCAGCTGCACCCCCCTCTCCTTTCAGGTTACCTGGTAGTAGCGGCAAGGAGAGTAGTATTGAGATAGAAGCACTAAATCCAAAGTTAATCAATTAAGGTTTGTGGAAAAATTATGGATCAAAATCTTGATTTTAAAATTTGTAATAATTGAAAACATTTACAAGATATTAATTTTGGTCAGTCTGGAGTGAGGGAAACACCAGATCCAAGCTGTTAAATTGCTCTTTAAAAATTGTGGTTATACGTACTGGTGTGCTGCGACAGCCATCCTTTGCGGTGGCCGATGTAATGAGGGGGTAGTGCCTGGTCATAGGTCACAGGTTTGTCTCCTTTCCCCACTCGGATCCTAGCTGCATGATTCTTATAAGATAAAAGAAAAGGTAAAGAGTCAGTAAAAAAGACATGTTGAACAGACGTCAGCTTGTTAACTTGATGTCTGGAGCTCAGTGTTCACCTTGCAGCACACCGCAGTGACGTGGAGGGCTCTGCTTCCAGACGGGCTGCATAATGAGCCAGACCTTGCCAAAGAGCTCTGCAGAGGAAACACCATGAAAGAAAAAAAACCATCAGATTTCTGCAACAAGTGCTGAGAACAGAAGGCTTTAATGGGTTTACCAAAGAGTATAAATTGGGCTTGTGAAATGATGAAATTCAGTTACATATCCCAGTTTACCCTAACTCATATCCACCCTTGATTAAGCCCAGTTGTGGAATTTAAAAAGTAACATTACTCAAGTACTGTGGTTAGTATGTAAGTAAGTTTCATCTACTCGTGTATTTCCATGTTATGTTACTTTATTATTCTACTCGACTACATCTCTACAAGGGAGATATTGGACTTTTTACTCCACTACATCCAACCAACAGAATACTAAGTAGTTTAAGCATATCCTAAAACATCTACAGCATGAATATGCAAAATACACATTAATGCAGCAGGAATATTAATCTAAAAGCATCATATAATAGAGTACACTGTACGAATACAGTTATGTGAATGTATACGTCGTTTGTCCACCATAGATGTGTTAAAACATTAAGAATAATCTGGATAATTACAATGCAGACTGAATATGTGACACAGTAAATTAATAAATAGATCTTATAAAGAGTAAGGATATCCTTATCAAACGCTTTGACGAGATGACATACAGAAAGCTGTAAGCGGCTAGTACTTTAAACTGTTAGCTTGTAATGAACCCCCTCTCAAACTGTACAGCTGAATACAGCATAGCAAACCAATATGTTAAAATGTCAACATAAATAAGTATTTAAAAACAGATAAATATTAGTTTACTTACTAACAGCATCGAGCTTCGTGTGCTCAAGGACGCCGCCGCCATGTTTTTTGATTACGACAATGTTGGGACCCCAGAGAGCTAAGGATTATTACTCTTACTCTTAATATTCTGTTATACCTTGAATATTGAAATACAATTGCAACACTGCACTGATTATAAGTAATTGTTGAAAAGTAAATTTGCTATTTTTCCGGTAAACTATGCCTATACAGTGGAACTGTTTATCCGACAGTTAGGCAGCTGTTTCCAGCGGATGACTGTTGAGCTGTACTAACCGGATAAAGAAAAAATAAACCATTTGGACAACCTTTTGGTTGGAAAAAAAGTATTTGTAATCGTCATTAGTGATGTAAAGCATACACAGGACACTTACATATCTTTATATTTACGTTTCTTGGCTTTGTGTAATTAAATGTATCAAATTGTACGTGTTTGTGGAGATGGAGCACTTATTTTGAAAATACTTAACCGGAAGTGTTATTATTGTTCTGGATAGAGAACCAGGCGTTAAGAGGCGATTCTTACTTATTCATAAACTCATATTTGTGGACACAAGAAGTTTACAACTAGGTTATAACTCGCTGTTTTACATATCTTTAAAGTCAGTGAACACGGTTATACAGTGAAAGCAGCGATGGCGTCGCCTCTGCAGATGACAGAGATGTACGACAACGCTCTGCTCGGGATCTTGCAGCACGTTGGAAACATTCAGGACTTTCTCCAGGTCTATTTTGGGTTTCTGTACCGCAAGACGGACTATTATCGCCTGTTGGCAGGTCCAAACGATAAGATGGGCTTCCCTCCCGGCGTGGCGGAGAAGATGGTGCTCAAGGTGAAGTTAGTCAACAAATTGGTGTTTTCAGTGTCATGGCAACATGGCTATTTAACTCTTAAACCCCTCGCAACCAACACAAATCATTAAGTTAGATCACTGGTATACTAAATACATTTCCATAGTCTGCTTTTCTCTTACAGGATGTGTTGGTTTGAGGATTGTGAAATTGACAGATACATTGAGAGGTGTTTTTATTGTTTTGCCCATCCCATGTAAATCAATGAGGTTAGGCTAAATAACAGAAACACCAAAAACGAACCATTAAAACTTTGTTTAAGATAGTATTTATTTGCAGGACTGTTGTAATAGACTGCATTATAGTTTTAGCCTGGAGAAACTAATTAACTATAGATTTAAATATCAGGTTTAGATAAAGCTATTGTGCTTCAATGAGACAAGAGCCAGCTGTTTAGTTCCTCCTATCTGAATCAAGTTATAAAAACTAGTGAAATTCATGCCTTGACCTGTAATAATCTTTGATTTCCTCTTCAGACGTTTAAGAATTTTGAGAAGCTGGCAGATCAGGACAGAGAGAGGCAGCTGAGCGAGGTGCAGAGGAGAGAGCAGAGTCGATGTGTTCCTCCGGCACTTCAAGAGCTGGAGGTGGCAGAGGAGACCGTGGAGCAGAGCTCAGAGGAGGCACAGACGGAGAGCTCCCCTTCAGATGCTGCTGATGTTCCAGCTGCTGCCTCCTCCTCAGCGGCGACTGTGAGCCCCCAGCCCCACAGCAGCAGCAGCAGCAGCAGCTCAGGTCCCAGCCATTCAGCTAAGGGAGACCAGGCAGCTGCAGCCAGCACATCCTCAGCAGAAGGGTGAGCTTCTTTATCCTTAAAAGCTTCTATTCAGTCATTTGAAAAATGTCATATTAGTACATCTCTGTACATGCACACTGTGTTGTCAGTATTATCTTCATGAGCTCTAAGTTTAAAGATGGGACACCTTTATGATTTTATCTGCCAACTGTCTACAGAAACTGACCCAGACTGGAACAGACCCGAGGCCATCAGTTTCCAACACCCAAATCAGATTTAAAACTCAACAGTTGTAATTGAGTAATGGCAAAGTGTGACCACACAACCAGACTTTTTTCAGAACCAGGTCTTTCTTATAATAAGTCGACTTTCTATCACAGCGTTAGAGTATGAGACACATCGTCTAAAACGTTTGTGTGGCACACTGCGGCCAAGACTTAACGAACCCACATACCAAAATCCAGGTTGTATTCTTATGTCTGATAGAATCGTTTTTCAAACATATTGATATGACAAAAGTAAGAAGGATACAGAGTCATAATTGCCCAGCTGTAGTATAGGATAATCTGATAATAATCCTAATTGAATTCCAGTGAGTGTTTATGCATGTCAAATAAATGACAGGGGAGGAGCACAAGATATTTGACATATCATGGGTTATTAAATGATTGTTGTCTGTGTGTATTTTGTGTTTCAGGAGTCGGGACAAGTTGCAGGCCGACCCCGACACCTACAACGGGGCTGTGAGGGAAAACTACAGCTGGTCTCAGGACTACACCGACGTGGAGATCCGCGTGTTTGTGCCAAAGACGGTTTTAAAAGGCAAACAGGTAAACAGTGTTTTCTACCTCCTGACATACCAGGAATTCCTCAATTATCATTCTACTGATTTCAGTTGTGAGTTTAACATGCTGTGTGTCGTCAGGTCAGAGTTAATCTGCTGGCCAGCAGCATGCAGGTGTGTGTGAGGGAGGGTGCCGAAGAAAAAACACTGATGGAGGGAGAGTTCACTCACAAGATCAACACTGAAAACTCTCTGTGGAGTCTGGAGCCTGGAAACTGTGTGGTCGTGAGTAAACACTCATACATGTTTACAGATTTGTATCTTTTAAATGAACATCATTTCATTGACCTCATTGTTTTGGACCTCCAGCTGTCCCTCAGTAAGACATCAGAGGTTTGGTGGAGCGCAGTGCTGAAAGGAGAGGCCGAAATTGATA